TTACTGATGATTAAAAATTAAAAGTGCGATTCAATGGTGTTTTACTCAATTTTATCTCATAAAAAAAAAACTTGCAATTTTTTAATTATTGCACTCAACTAAGCCAAAAAAATTAATTTTTAAAACTGCACCTAACTAAGCCAAAAAAATCAATTTTTTTTAAAACTGCACCTAATTTAAATAATGTGTTTAACTAAAAAAAATTGTTAAATTTATTTATTGTTGATCTATTGTAGTTAGCAATATTACTTTAATTGTTCTTATTGTTATCTTGACTGTTATTATTATTTTGAACTATTAAAATACATCATGTTTAACATTTTTAATAAATTTTTACTTAGATTTTGTCTATCATTAGCCAATATTTTATTATAATTTGAAAAACTTCTTTCAATAAAACAAGAAGACACAGGCAACCAAATGTAATCCTCAGCGATTACACTTAATTCAGGTAATAAGTAAGCTGTTTTAGTCCAAAATTCTTGCAAGTTATTAAAATCAATTTGTTCTAAATCTAAATTAATATATATATCCCATTCTTGAATTAGTCCAGTAGATGGATTTGCCAATTCGGGAATACATTCATAAGATAGAATATTTCGATTTGCAGTAATAAAATGAATAAAACGTGGATCAAAAAGTTGAGAATTTTGATAAAGAGAATAAGTAAGATGATTTAAAATATGTGTTTCATATTTTTGATTTGCTTTTACAAATGTGGCTTGAAAAATAGAAATAAAAGTTTCGGGTTTAAAATTAATCGAGATAATCAAAGTGTTCAAATCTGTTTCAAAATTAGTCGATTTTATGTTATTATTTAAGAATTGACCAAGTTGATCTAGTAGGGTTTCTACAAAAGGAAATACAGGTTTGTTTTCTATTTGAAAAAAATCTAGAGTTGAAACAAGAATTTGTGAATTAATAGTAATAAATTATAAATAGATTTAAACTATGCCATTTAACTAAATATCCCCGAATATAGCAGCAATATCATTAATTGTTGTAGATAAATTTTCAGTTGCTTCTTGTTGATAAAATGAACGAATGTAATCCAGATGCTCATCGACATAAAAGGCCATCCAATACCAAGAATTCCAGTGTGTTTTAGATAAAAGTGGAATTTTCCTCGGTGTAGTAATTCCATTACATTGAAGATAATATATATAACGACTACGCTGTGCTTTTGTATATACCAACCTTTGTTTAATTTTACTAAGCAATGTTTTTACAATATTAAAATAATCTACAGAAATCCAAGCTTCTCCAATCAAGTTTATAATATGTGCTAAACAAGGGCTATATATTAATTGTAGTAAAAGTGGTTTTAAAACTTCACGATGGCACTTTTTTATATATATGCTGCAGAATCAGAAGCAATAAGGTGAGGGTACTCAAATGGAATAAATCACTGAACTAACGTTTGAATAATTAATTCACCAATTGTTTTATTATTAACTTGATCTAAAAATGCCACTTCTACTAATTTAGTAACACTGCGATAAGAAAAATAAATATTAACGACACTACAGGCACAAGAATCCGAAGTTTCATCTATAATAATTGATACTTTTTTATTTTTTTAAGATCTGTAACACTTTTTTTAAAAACAATTGGTAAATATTCTCTTCGTAGTGTATCTGCAGCTGGTATTGCACCTCCTTTTCAGATGTTTTCTCTAATCCAAGATCGTAGCTTATCAACCTTTTCGAGTGGAATATTTGCTTCTACTAATGCTTCTACAAGTGAAACAACAATACTTTTTCTGGATTTGGCAGCTTGAATTGTTGTTGGAAGTGTTAATTGTCATGTTGAGTTACTTGCACGTTCTGCGGCAGCTTTCTTTATCTTATGACCTTTACTATCAAGATGTGCGGTTATTACTGAGTGAATAGTGTAATCGACACTATGATGACAAAATTTACACATAAACTTGTCATTTTCTTTATAAAAATGAGCTCCAAATTCAACTAATCTACCATTTAATGTAATTCTTTTTGGACTCATACTAAAAAATAATGAAAATTTTTTTTAAAAGCGAATTCTATTTATTAATATATGTTTTAAATTTAACATGCTCTATTAATTTACATTTATTTAACATACTAAAAATTAAATTATTTCGTACTTTATCATACTATTACGTAAAAATTAGATAATTTCATTAACATACTATTAAAAATTAGATAATTTCACACTTTAACATACTACTAAAAATCAATTAATTCGCAATTTAACATGCTATGTTATCAGTTTGTTCGACTCTATTATTAATCGGTTTTTAGACTAGTTAATTATACAGCCGAATCAAGTTGAGAACATTTTTATCGGGCACATAAATCTGACATTGAAATCATATAAATAATAAAAAATTATGCGATTTAGTGCGATTTAGTTTAATCACACTAAATCACATAATTTCCGTGTCCCTGATCAGTATATAGATAGGGATGTGTTACATAAATTACAACTTTACATTACATGTAATTTTACGTAAGTTTCTGAAACCCAAATTTCATGTAATTTTACATAAAGTACCGGATTTATAAAAAGTTTGGCCAACATTATTGCATCATTTGATTTGAATGTACAATCCGAATTGTTACTCATAAATCGCCGAAATTTGATCTCAGAAACTAAATGTCGTGTGTTCAAAATTACGATTACATGAAAAATTGATTTACAGAATCTTACACAAAATTACGTAAAATTACGCAAAATTTCAGTAATTTTACAACCCTATATATAGACATTAAAAAATCCGCAAATAATGATCGACATATATATAGTATTGCACACCCTAACGCATCATGGTTAGGGTTAGCTATACTGGTTAGCAGGAGCTATAGTAAAATTATCAGTTGGGCTTTTTTTTTACTTAATGCTGTAATGAACGACTATGGTTTCATTTAGTAAAATTCTTCTGTGCTGTATAAACATGCCATAGTCATGTGATTTATACAGTAATTAAAAGTCCTGGAGCTTAAAACAATATACCTAACCAAAAAAATTTATGATATATCCAGGTTGCAACTAGAAAGATTTAAGCGCATACACGACTATGGCATATAGTTTAGTCGCAGCTAATGGAATTCCTGCATATTTTAACATAGACTTAGACGAAGTCCAGAGTATACAGTAGGTGGAATTTCATATTTTTCATGAGTGTTATGTTTTTTTTATTATTTATTTAACCATGAAATCTGATTGATGATTTAAATAATCTCTGTGAGCAGTCTGTCGATATTTACCGCCACAAGTACTGTACATTCTTGACAAAAATTTTTTGAGGTAAATTACATTTGGAGCAATAAAGGCCTTGTTCCTTATTGGAAAGATTATAGGTGTTCTCAAGCATCAACCTAGATGCAATTTAATAGTGATCGAAATTGTGCTGTTCCTTTAATTAGATCATTAACCTGAAAATTTGACATTACACTTTGACCGATATAATAATGTAGCATACGGTAAAAAATTTACAAAAACTGCGTTAAAAAATTTGGTTTACAATCAGAGAAGCCCGCAATATATTTACAGGAAGATTACGATTCTTAACACAAATTCCATTTCTGTATAATGAATAAAAAGAAAATTGAAAACGGAGTATTCCCACAACAGCAATTATAAACAAACTTGAAAAGAATTACAAATACATAAAAATAGAGTTTTTTTATTTTTAAGTTATATCTTTACATTTAAAATAATAAACATTTTTTATTATTTTAATTATATTTTGAATTTGTACAGTACAATTAAAAAATTTGAATCGTTTTTTTTTCAAAACTTAAATAATATATATATTATTAACATTAATATTATTGTCATTAGTAAGTTCACTTTATATTTAAATATTGGATTTGAAATTCGGAGATAGAGGTTGGAACCGGATATATCAACCGGGTTTAAACCCGGGTTCACCCGAATTATTACAGCTATTATCATAATTCCTGGGACACCTGTAAAAATTTGCCGAATGATTTTTGGCCGATCCGGTTAAGTTATATATTTTCGGTAATAATAAGATTCAGTATCTATAATATTTAATAAGATCAGGTGACTAATATATATTACAATAAGACTAAATATTGACATCGCACTTGCAAGTTGTAAAAGTTCAATCCTATTCTGGCACGATCCATTTTTGCTTAAACGAAGCCTTTATTCATTTCTAATTATTTTCGGCGAAAATTCGGGTTTAAAAAATTGTCTAAAATTTCAATTCCTATTCTTTGGCAAGAGCTAATTCTATTCTTTGGCAAAATTCGTTTTCGTTCAAACAAAGCCTTTATTCATTTCTAATTATTTACCAACGAAAATTCGTTTTTGAAATAATTGTGTAAAAACTTCAATTCCTATTATCCATTTTCATTCAAGCGAAGCCTTTATTTTATTCATTTCTAATTATTCTTCGACGAAAATTAGTTTTTAAAAAATTGCATAAAACTTCAATTCCTATTCTTTGGCAAGATCCATTTTCGTTCAAACGAAGGCATTTATTCATTTCTAATTATTTTTCGTTTCTTGTCGAAGTCGAAAAATATATAAACAAATAATATAAACATATAAAATTTTTTACTTGGATTTCGTTTATCATAATTCTTCATGCATTCTCGACAAATATTAATAATATCATGGTCGTTTGGAATCCTAACCCGAGATTCATTTTTAAACCAGTCGATAATATTTAACTTTTTTTAATAGCGGCACCTGTTCAATGTTATAAAAGTCTAATTTATATTCGATTCCTTCTTGTTAAGTTTTAGTGGTTGACATGAACAGTTTTTTCTATAAATTTTCGTACAAACTAAAGCGCACCAAACATTTTTGGACAAGCATTCGAACGAAAATTTAAAATCGTTGACATTATTGTTATGACAATCGTAAAATAATCATTTTATTATGCTAATACGGATCATACCGAATCAATAACTTAACCGGATCGGCTGAAAAATCATATAGCTGTAATAAATCCGGGTCTAAATTTGAATATTCGACCCGGGTATATGAATACGACCGGTACGGATGAACTTGAACCGGGTGTATTAGTATGAATACAACCGGTTATATATAAGATTGATAGGTGATTATCAGCAACTTTACTACGTAAAAACTTCAATCACTTTATATAGAATAAAGATTATGAAGATAAACTAAATTTGTCATTCTCAATAGCATGTTATTTGCATATATATATATATTGTTTTTTGCTTATTTTCTTTAAGATTGATAATTTGTTTTCGATGTGCTACTGGTTTATGCATCATCTCTATATAGAATATTAGGTTTTTAAATTTCCTGCACCGTACGTACGTATAAAATTTATTAAAAATATGATCATTATATAATAATTAAATTTTATTTTTATAAAAAAATTTTAAGTAACTGCATTTTTTTTACTATTAAGGTCTTTCGGCGACTAGATTTTATTGAAGTAACTGCATTTTAAAATTTAGTATTTCAAAAACTGTTTTAAGAGCGAGACAATGAAAAATTTTTAATTTATAAATTAATATATAGCATCGAATCTATTTATTACGCGAATTTCGTGCTATTTTAGAAGTAATATATGATATATAGTTTATTTAAGATTAATTTGCTAGTACCAAATTACATATTAATCACTAATGCTAAAACCCCCAAGTATATCAATAACGTGTCTAAGCAATCTAATCTATTTTAAGCGCCCATTAGATATGAAATTTATATATCGGATGTTCTTTGGATAGAACTTTTTGTTAATTATTCAATAACGTATTTTTGATGAGGATACAAGTTTCTAGATAGGTCCTTTTACCAATAGAAATCTTCTTTTACCAGGTGACAAGAAATTACTTCCAACTCGCATTCACCAAGGTTAAGCGTCGAAATGAGCTTTAATATAAACTTCGAATGGCGACATTGTTACGTACGTAGATATTTGAAGAAAAAAAAAAAAAAATTAGTAATACGTTGCATAAACCAAAAAAAAATGAATCAAAACAAAAAATATATATTTTGGGATAATTAGTGCTCATAATCGAGGATGCGCCATGGTGATCACCAAATTTTAAATAAATAATGTGGTGTTTTTTTTCAAAGTTTCCCGACCGTGAATTGTAAAAACTCGTCGAATCTAAACATTCTCCCTTCGATTGGATTACGTGAGAATCGGAAGTTCGAAAATTGACTATGAAAAACAAAATATAATTATTAGTACCGTATATTTATCAAACAAACAGTTATAACGTAAATTATTGCACTCAGAATAATCATAACCAATCAGCCCGCATGGTATTATTTTAAAACTAGGAGGTATGCAAGATCGTCTGTAAGGCGTCAATTGCTGCAACGAAGTACCCGGAACTACAACCAGCAAGCTGGGGCGCCATAAATATGCAAAAGCTAATTAAAGCCACGCAAGCGTGTGATAACTCTCCCACATCAACATTGTTACCTCATCCTTAGCTCGGGCGAACTAAGAGTTCTTCGAATAACAAGCGTCCGCAGGCAACAGAAGTTACATAGAACATATTTCGAGGATACCACTTCCCAGACGAGATATCAATCCTGTTTAAATACCACCGGCTCCCAAGAATATAAATATGTCCGCGTTGAGCGTAACTCATAAAACGTCGAACATATTATAATTCATCATAGTGCATAAATACTTATAAAATTATTATTCAACAACATATACCTTAAAAAGTTTTGTATCTTTTGGTGTCGCTACTTCATAGGTGGACGGTCGTCTTTAGTGCGTCATTTCACGGGTGGTCGTCTTTAGTGCCGCCATTTTACGTCGTCTTTGTCGCCATTTCACGGTGGTCGCCTTTGTCGCCATTTCATAGTGGTCGTCTTTGGTGTCGCGTGCTTGCTTTCGTTCGTTTTTAGCACTTTTTTTTATAAATAAGATTGTTTGTAAAAATACTAATATCTATTAGAAGTAAATAAGATGGTTTTTTAAACAAAATTTTGCCTGTTTATCGATTTTTGCGTTACACAAAATCAGGCTCAAAAAAAAGTATTGTTTACATGATGGTTTTCCTTTTAGGGATGACCTGATTTAAAAAGATCACGCGTATCATATCTGCTAGCGTTCCACAAAAAGATCTGGTACTTTTCATGGGTATGAATATAATGTTTCACAAAAGAGATGCGCATTGCAATTTACTTAGGATTAGGACGTTAGGGTTGTGAGCTTTATTTTTTATTAGTCTAATAAGGTCGATTTAAACACTAGTTTTTGAGTATTTTTCTTTCTTTTCTTTTTTTCTTTTTTTGCATGTGTTCGGATTCTATGTCTGGCTGATCCAGAATACCCGAAATTTGTGTTCTCTGATTGGCCATTTCCTTTTTAGAGATTTCGCAAATAAGTGGATGCCCAGAATTGATATAGATATGGTTTACACAACGTTGGAAGACCGCTACTGGTCGCGGGTATACGTGAGAGACTAGTATAAATTGCTAGTTTCATACCCATTAAAAATACCGGATCTTTTTTGCGGAACTCTAAATACTGAAATAGAAGCATAGGTCAAATTGCATTATACTGTTTTTTCTATATTGCAGTATTGTTTACAATAGAATGTATTAACATAAAATATGAAAAAAATTATTTTTCTGATTAAAGCAATTTCTTCATATCGATATTATCGCTTAAGATCCACCAACTTATCTTGATATGTCAGTATAGATATGTAGCACAAAGTTATTACATCAAAGTTTTTTGTTTTTTAAATGAAACAACTAATCAATCAATATTCTTTTCGATTTGAGCATGTTATAAAACGTGTAGATGATCAAAATTATCAATCGGTTATAAAAGGAGTACGTCAAAATTTAAAAATTGACTTAGCCGACTATGGCTTAATATATAAAATAATCTATATCCCGAATTTTTATTTATTGGCTAATGCCAAATCGACTATAATTTAATAAAATTTTGAATTGGCCACACTATATACAGTATATAAAATTAATTTCAATTTTGTTTGTTGGGACTAGGTTGTCTGCACTTTAAAAAATCCTATCGACATAATGAAGAAAATCTCACAACCCGATCACTTCACTATAAGGAGAGTGACTCAAAATTTCATCTTCCTAATCATGAATAAATTTACTAGTAAGTTATATATATATACTGTATATATTGATATAAATTTTTTCACAGTTTATTTAAATTTATTTAAATTTAAGTTTGGACTAACAAATAGCTAGCAACTTAGACATTAAATTTACCAGGTAATTTTTGGGGTATAGTACTTTCATTTAAATATTTAAAAATAACTGTTATTAAAATTTCGATTGGCTGCAAATATTATTATCATGTAATGAATGAGATGAAAAATATATTTAATATTCGTTTATATAAATCACATCACATTATCTTAAGTAAACATAAAAATTACATGTAAAATTACATCAAGTTTACGACCATAGATACAGACACTAATTTTTTAATCACGACTTTCGTAACAGTAGGGCCAAATAGTGGTTACAAGTGGTTAGGTAACGTCAACGTAAATATCAATCAATTACAGCATTTCTAATAAAAATTGTTTCAATCTAATTGTAACGTGAGTTGTCGTCATGTGAATGTATGGGATGCGCGTTAATCGGGACGCCATGGACACCGTATGTTATTTTAACGTTCTTTCGTGCTTATACGATATTCTTACAACTTAAATATATGCATCTTAGAATTTTAGAATATGATACGAGACGGTTAGATAAACTCATATTTTATACTGTAGTTAAATAAATTTCATTGAGACGCAGATGCAGTATTAATTTGACGCACAACATATACGAATAAAAAAATTCAACCAATTACAGCTGTTTTCAAAAAGATGTGGAAAATACCCATGTGGGGAATCGAAGAATGTGGAAATTCTGCTTAGTAAAAATCAAAAATCCGATTAGAGCTGGTCTTGAAAACTCTGGAAATTTGGGAAATATAGTGAATTCTCCATGGTATAGTGATCTGCATCTTTCCACAAAATTTTGAAAACAGCTGTAACATCATGTAAAATCATATACTTTCGTATTAAATTTTCTTAAGCAAAAATTTTATTCATTTTTTTTATTATTTAATATATTACAATTAGGGGTCTGCAAACCGGGCTCGTGCCCATGCCCAACAGAAGTTACAAGCATGGGCATGGGCACGAAGATTAGGCATAGGCATAGGCATAGGCACGGGCATGGGCACAAAACTTTGGCATGGACATGGGCATGGCACAAAACTTTGGCATGGGCATGGCATGGGCACAAAAATTTGGCACGGGCATGGGCACCCATGCCCGGCACATTGGCACTAGGCCGGGCACTAGTGCCTTGTGCCGTGCCTGTGCCTATAGGCACTAGTGCCGGGCACTAATACCAGGCACAAAGATTAAGGGCTGATGGTCCTCTTGATCCATCCCAGGGACCCGTAAAATTTTTAGATATAAAAATTTCACAAAAATCCAAATTTTCAAGTACGTAGGAATTGGAATTTCGGAATTTCACAATTCTGGCCTGCATTAGTAGTAAACTATAATGTGGGCCGCAGTGGATTCAAAAAAATATTTGCTTATTCCTAGTGAGATGTAATTCATTTTAATACAAACTTGACTTATTTAACTTCTAAGACATACAGTATATGATTGGTTTGTATTGGATATTGCTATGATCTAGAGACATGAATTTATGTGACTTAGTTCCTAATTTTATATTTAATAATAATCGGAAAAATTTATAAAAATAAAACTTTTATAAATTTATCTAAAATTTATTAAATTTAAATCAAAATTTATTAAATTTAGGCTAAAATTCGCCTAAATTTGAGTATTTAAATTAAATTTTACGGGTCCCTGATCAATCCTAAGAGGACTGGATTGACCTGATCCTTGGATGGACTGAAGGACCGTCGGTCCGGTCCGGATCGATTAACAGCCCTACTAGTTAATAAATAAAATGAATGATTCAAAATAAGTGTGGCCTAAAAGCAATTCATATTGTATTACCATGTGATATAATATTTATTATTTCATATGAACAAATTACTTCAAGTCGTACTTTGGTTACTTCGTATGAAAATATAGAAAGCACAACACCGATAGAATCATTCCAAGAAGATAAAACATTTGCTAATTTACATTCACAAGATTCACATTCACAAACGTTTTTAAATAATAATCTTGGAGTAGATATTTCACTT